AGAGAGAGAGAGAGAGAGAGAGAGAGAGAGAGAGAGAGAGAGAGAGAGAGAGAGATGCCCACAAGAGAAAGAGAAAAGGGCAGCCAGGGGAGGTAGTTAGGCCAAGTGGGTGGTTTTGTGCCAAGAACGAAGCAAAGGTCCTGAGGCACTGATTCACATTAACCAAATTCACCAGAGAGTGAAGTTGCTCCCAAGCCCAAAGTTTCTTCATTTTGCCCCCAAGGTGGTGGGAGGGAGCAAACAAATTCAGTGGGAGAGAGGAAGGGGGACACAGTCCCTCAGCTGAGGGGCTGACGTGGAGGGGCATAGGCTGACCCTTCCCCAGAAAGCAACAAATGGGAAGTGAGGAGCCTTGTGGAGCTGGAGAGGGGCCACAGGGGTACACATCAGCTGATCCCTACCCTGGTGGTGATGGGAAACGGGGATTAGCTATGAGAGTCGGCAGTGAGTAGAGGCTAGCACACCTCTGAGGTGAAAAGGCAGGCTGAGCAGCAAGGATGAGGCAGACCCCAGCTGGGTCACTGTGCCACTGCCCCCAGCAGCACCTGACAGCTAGGAAATCTCAGGGGAGAAGTAATGACCACCTATCCCAGGGCATAGCATGCAGGGCAACATGCCAGTTGAGACTGTTGCCTGGCATGAGGCTGCTCTCACACAAACAGCCCAAGACCCTGGCACAGACATTCCCTGACTCAGCCCTGTCTGGGGACTTCATGTCCTGGTCTGACTCAAGAGGGGTGCTGTGCCCTGGCTACTTCTCCAGCAAAGTACTCCAGTGGCCAAGGTCCCAGCCTGCTGGCACAGTGCCAGTGGCCAGCAACAAGGCAAACTCCAGGAAGAGCACATTGGTTTAGCCGGTGGTGCTCACTCCCAGGGCTGAGTTCTCTCTCTTCCTTCCCCCTCAGCCTTACTGTCCTCCAGCAGTGTGTCTTTCCCAACAGGTACACCCATTGAAGCCCTCCTACCTAGATCTGGACAGATCCAGCTCTGTGACATCTCTAGGTCTGGGGATCCCATCTGTACCCTATAACCTCAGAGCAACTTAATCTTGGGCACTAGAAGATGTTTTCCCTTAAAAAAGATCCCCACCTCTGTGGCTGACCCACAGGACATGCACACATCCTTGAAGACAAGACCACACAGCTGCACCCAGTCCCCACCCCAAAAAGGAAGACAGAGACCTACAAGTACACACACATAGATACAGAGATATTCACATATGGGATAGTAAGGTCCCTACACAGGGCATGTGGATGACTAGATACAGCCAGGCCTGACACTTCTCATGAAGTTCCTGTGCCAGTCCTGACCAAGAGCATCTCCCTGGCTCCAGGAGTTTTCTCTCCATCACCAAGCCAACCCATTATCCTGCCAAGAACACATCTTCTTGTGCTCCTGAAGGCCACCGTCTGATGCCAGGGCTTTGCCATGGTGGTGCCATGCAGGCCTGGGGGACTGAGGATCAAGTGTATTGAATCCCGTGGAAATGTAAGGGCAGGAACACTATATAAGTCAGTCCGTGTGAAACTGCTGCTCAGCTTCGCCTCATGGGTGACCCTTCTGACTCCTCTGTTTATATGTCATGGGGCTCCATCTTAATGAGGGAAGCAGGATTAAATGGAGAAAAGGGGGCTGGGGTTGGGGATCTGGTCAGCAAGCTCCCAGATGAGGTCACACTAGGCTCAGACATTAATAGGGACCCTGAGCCTGAGGAGAGCTCAAGTTCAGCCACTGGGGTCAGCCCAACAGTGGGGCGGCTGGGGGGAGAGAAAGTCTGGTTTCCCAAAAGACTTGGAGTGTGGGAACCCCTCGAAACCACCTGGGTTGGAAGTGGCTGAAGATGAGCCTGATCTCTCAGGAGTTCCCTCAGGGTCTCTTCGGGAACCAGCAGCCCCTCCATGGGGGCCCCAGTTACCATGCCCTGCACATATGAGGAGGACCTCAGTGGCCCCTCCTTGACCCCGGGGGCTGTTGTGGTAGAGGAAGTCCTGATGAAGGCAGCAATGACAGTCCCAGGGGCCTGAGAGCTTGGCCCTGCTGGTCCAGCAGCTGTGACAGAGGGTGGCGCTGGGTTGGTCGGATGGTTGGTCCCAGCCAGAAGCTGAGGGAGGCCACTGAGAATGAGTGGGGCCCCTGGTGCTGCCACCTGGTTCTCTGGGAAACTAGTGTTCAGGGGAAAGGAGGCCTGCAGAGTGAAGGTGTCCTTGAGCGTGGAAGATGTGGGTGGGACACTCTGGAGAACCAGCTGAGTAGAAGCAGTAGTACTGGCAGGGGCCCCATTGGTCAGCACCGTAGTCAGCGGGATGGTCTGCAGGGTAACGGCCGAGCCTGACCCCGCCGGGGCCACTCCTAGGTGGATGTTGTTGGGCACCGAAGGACTGAAACGAGACAGAAAAGAGTTGGTTAAGGTAGCAAAGGCCTCCCAGCCAGCCAGGAAGGAGAGCATAACAAGGACAGAGTTGCAGGTGTTCTGCACGTTGTTGCTCTAGCTAGCATTTATCCAGTACTTAGGACAGGTCAGAGGTCATTCCAAGGAACTCACATGCTGCATTTTGCTCAAACCGTAAAACAGCACATGAGCTAAATAAGAGTTATTTGATTTTATAGCTTGAGGAAACTGTCACAGAGAAGTTATGTAACTCACCCCAAGACCACACAGCTGTTAAATCCTAGACTCAAGAGCAAGGACTTCAATCTAGGCCTCATGACCTAAGAGCTCACCCTTCCCCTCTGCTGCCTCCCCCTCAGAAGAGTGCCCTATGAGCCACTCCAGTGTAGCAAGAGATGCGGACAAACTCAAACCTTTTCAGGGAAAACTTGGCCCCAGAGCAAGGAAGTGGAACTAGGGAGAGTTGTGGGCGTGGAAGGCAGAACAGGCTCATCTGCTATATTCTTTCCTGTAGAGTAGAGATGACTAGGCAGGGTGGGCAGGATGTGGAAGCTCATGGTAGCTCCTTAGGGCATACTGTGGAGTAGCAGAATCAGTCCCAGCTGGCAACCAAAGCCCCCCAAGTCAAGTGCTAGCTTTGCAGTGACTTAGTGTGTGGCCTTAGGCATGTTACCTTTCCTCTCTTGTCTACAGAGCTCTGCCAGCTTTCCCAGGGTTCTGCAAAGATCCCACAAGACTGGACATGGCAGTAATTTGCATAAAGCTGGACACAGCCCTGGCACAAGAGGCTGCAGGAAGGCTCACGGTTGCTTTGGCGCCCTTACCTCACGGCCTTGGTAAGCTTGGCCTGGCCCTCTGCCGGGGAGACAAGCATGGTGGAGGTAGTGGGGGTCTCCTCATTCAGAGGCAGTCCCAATTCCAGACTCGAAGATGGCTGTAGACCAACATGCTGGAGCTTTGGCTTCTCCCAAGAAGGGCCAGCCTTGCCCTGGGGCGCAGCCCTGGATGACACCCTGGAGCTGGCTCTTCTGAGGGAGCTTGTGGAGGATGTCGCAGCCTGAGGGGCTGCTGCTGGGGCTTCGCTTCTCTCATCCTCATCTTCAATCACGACCAGGTCCTTGGGCATCTCCTTAAACTGGTACACCAGCCTCTGCCCTTCCACTTTAGCCAGGATGCCTCTTTGGTAGTAGTATCTGGGCAATGGGGGAGTGGAGTTAGCCAGGGACTGAGGAAGGGGCCTTTCCTCTGTAGCTCCCCTTTACACTACCCTCCAAGGCAGATCAAGCTCAAGAGAACCCTGGGGGCAAGGGAAGGGTCATGGCCAGCTCTTGGGTATGAAAGGCCCAGATTTCCCCCTTCAGGCTTAAAGGCTGTTTTCAAAGGCTTTTGTGATTCCAGCCTCATCTTGCTTTGGGGCTGAGGATGGGGAGTGAATGAAGGATGAAAGTAGGAGTGAAGGAATAGATGGCAGGGGTTCAGCAGGCCCCCAGTCCAAGAGACCAACTTGAGGCAACTCCTTGGACCTTTGGCTTTCACAAAGTGAAGAAAACCCTTCTTGGAGATCGGGATGGGGACTGAAAATGCTCTTGTGGCAGAGATGTAGCACAGAGATATAAGAAGGAGATTTTTCCTCTCAGAGCTGAAGGAGGGTGTAGCAAGGTGACCGTTTCCTTAAAGGACAGAGCAGGCCTCCATTACAGTGGGAAAACGTCCTTGGATATATAGCTGGGTGATTCGTCAGGACAGGGACTCTGTATCTCTGTAGCTCCTACCTTAGTGCCCGCCCCATCGTCTCATAGTTCATGTCAGGCTTGTTTTTCTGCTTTCCCCACAGCTTAGACACAGCTTTGGAGTCCACCAGCTTGAAGATGCCTTTCTCTCGCTGAGTCCACTTGATGTATTTGGGACAGGTGTTTCGGTCTTGCAGGAGTGCCAGAAGGAACTCCCACAGGTATATGGTGCTGCCTGCAGAGCAGCAGGCAGTGAGGGGTGACTTGGGCAACCTAGCAGCAGGTTAAGGGCCACCCCTTTCATTTCTCCAACTCCCAGCCATACCTTTGCCATCCTTTGACTTCTTCCGGATGGGGATGCTAGGGTCTGTGACCGGTGAGGTGCTTCGGTTGCCCTTTGTCTTCCGGACTGTGAAGAGAAGGTAGGAGAGCACTGAGGCTGAGGCTGAGGCTGAGGCTGAGGCTGAGGCTGCAGTGAGCTGACCACATTGGGTGTGACAGGACAGACCAGGAGGAGGCAGGTCAATCATTTGCCACAGCCATAGCCACAGCCACAGGTATCTACACCTGCATGGTCAGGCCCTGAAGGCAGCTCTACAGCAAACTACCATGTGGGGAAACTCAATGCTGGCAAACAAGGCACCTTCTAAGAGCAGAACCTGCCTGGGCTCATTTTGGAACTGGAGAAACAGCCCCAAGTCACCACAGCTGTACAGACCAGTGTGGTGGCTCTGCTGAGGAGGCAGTATCAACCAGCCACCCCAAGTAAATCAATAACACTGGGGCTTGGGAGAGCCCAAAGTCCTCTCTCCTACAGTCTCTGCTTCATAAGCTCTGCTGAAGAGAGATAAGCAAGAAGCATGACTCATTTTGCATGGACAGAGGCACCCTGGATGTCCAGGGACTGACCAGGGGTCCAGACCTCGAATCTGAACTCGGCCTGTGATTCAGCCCATGGAGATTAGCCTGTGGTATTTCTGGTGGTGCCTGTGTGTGCTGGCAGATAGGAATTGCATAAGCCAGGCTTACAGAAGGGAGGCTTTCTAGTTCATCCCTGGTAGACCAGAGCCCCCCCCCCCCCCGCCATGTGCCTGTGATCCTCAGCGTGCTCAGCCTTTGGGCTCTCCCTAGGCCCCCACTGCCTACTCCTTTGAACACACATACATGCTACTCCCCGCCTTACTTCTCTTCTTTGATTTCCCAGCCTTCTTGGCACTTTCCTCTGTGGGGACTCTCTCCTCTAGAGGCTGCTCTTCCTGGGCACCATTGTCACCTGCCCCGTTCTGGACATCAGGCTCAGAGGTAGGAAACAGGTAGTTGGGCAGAGTCGCAGCTGCAGCTGGGTCTGAGTCTGGAAGCATTTCAGAGGTGCCAACTGCAGGAAGAGAGAGGCATGCAGTGGGCGGGCCTGGAGAATGGGGGGCACCAGAGGAGGGCAGGCTTGCCGTTCCCCACAGCTCCAATACCAGATACACCTGAAAATGCCTCAGGGGGTCTCGCACCAGGAGGGGAGGACACATCTGCAGAGCTGTGGGCATAAGCTGGCCCTAATCACAGCTGCCACATTTAGAGCTTACAGCTGTGAGAGGGGAAGTCTCAGGCAGCGTCCAGGAAAAGGGCCAGGTTGATTTTAGCATTCCCTCATTTGACAACTCGAAAGCATTTAGTGCAGTCCCTCTGCTTCCAGCCAGGCAGCTGAGACAGGCCTCGAGATGACAAGTCACACAGAAAGTCAGGGCCTGGTACTTGGAGGCACTGAGTAAATATTAGTCGAGTCCTGGCTGAATATTAGTGAGAGATGTGGGGAGAAATCTCTTACCTTTCAGCATTAGGGCTTTCGCATCCCTCACTATATCACAGCATCCTCTCAAGCAAGTGCAATGGAGGGGGCACCCTCCTGCAGTGTTAGGACATCTGCCTTAGAGGGCACTGGGAGAAGGGGCGTCTTGGGGGTCTTCTGGGGAAATGGGGAGCCAGGCAGACCAGCAGACACACATGAGCCTCTTTTGGGGGCTGCCTTCAAGATCAGGGAAGGGGTGAAGGCATTCCAAGCCTGCTTCATTTCTAAGTCAGTCACAGAGTGAGGGCCCGAAAAGTCCCCTGGCCACTATTCGATTGCTCAGCCTTAAAGAAAGGACTTTCTGATACATGCTCCACAGTGCCTTCACAATGAGGTATGTCCCCAGCCTTTTGTTATTTTATTTTGAGACAGGGTCATTGTCACTAACACATGGATGGGCTTTGAAAACATTATGCTACATGAAATAAATCAACCACAAAAAGCACCGTGCTGTACAATGCCTCGCTATGAGGTACCCAGAAGACACAAGCTCACAGAGACAGAGGTCGGATGGCAGCTGCTGAGACTGGGGCACAGGGCAAGGTAAGTTTAATAAGGATGATTTCAGGGCTACGGGATGGGAAGAGTTCTAAGATGGATGGTAGAGATGGTTTCAAAGGTACTTAACACTGCTTAACACACTTTAAAATGACTAAGGTGGCACATGTTATGGTACAGTATTTTACCACTATTTGAAATTGAGCGTTGGCCACACCTGTAATCCCAGCATTCAGGACGCTTAGGCAGGAGAATCATCATGTGAGTTTGAGGTTAGCCATAGTGAGTTCAAGGCCAGCATAATGAACTATGTAGTGACATCCTGTCTCAAAAATAAATAAGGAATAAAACACAAAACTCAGGGCCGGCAGTATAGCTCAGTGGACTAAGCGCTTGCTTAGGTAAGCGCAGGGGTCAGGTTTTGATCCCTGGCTCCGCATGCTGCGCTGGCCCTGCCCCCGGGCACGCTGAGCTGGTGATGGAGTCCGGGCGTGGTGGTGCCTGCCTGTAATTCCAGCACCTGGGACGCAGAAATCAGGAGGATCACTATGAGTCTGGGCTGTGTAGTGAGACCCTGCACAAAAAAACAAAAACAAAAACAAAAAAAGCCCCAAAACACAAAACTTGCCCTAGCCATCTTTTCCTTATCTCTGGTGCCTGGTACCTTCCTGCCCCTTCCTGCCAGTCCCAGCCTGAATCTGTTCACACGTATATTGATAGGTGTGGTGACCTAGAATGCCTGTGCATGCACCTGAAAATCTAGCATGCAGATGTGATGTTTTTGTGTGTGCAGTACCAGGGATTGAACTCAGGACTTCGTGCTTGCCAGGCAGGCACTTACTCTACCGAGCTGTCTCCCCAGCCCCTCAGATGCGACTTTTCTTTCAGTACTGGAGATTGAACCCAAGGCCTCTGTACTTAGAGAAAGGGTCACAGTAAGTCACTCAGTTGCCCAAGGTGTACTCAAACTTGTGCTACTCTTGCCTCAGCCTCCAAGGTTTATTTGTTTGTTTCTTTTTTTTTTTTTTTTTGGTGGAACTGGGGATTGAACTCAGGCCCTTGTGCTTGCCAGGGAAGCACTTGTTCCACTGAGCCATCTCCCCGGCCCCTGTTTGTTTGTTTGTTTGTTTTTTCTTTCTTTTTTGTGTATGGTAGTAGGGATTAAACCCACACTCTTCACATGATGTATGTTTCTGGCAGTTTTTGATATTTTTTGTTTGTTTTGTTTTTAATTTTGAGACAGGGTCACACTAAGTCACTATACAGGCTAGGCTCGAACTTGTAATCCTGCATCAGCCTCCCAGGGTGCTGGGATTACAGGTTTGTGCCACCATACCCAACAGGATGTGACACTTTAAAAGGGAGTTGCTTAGTTGTCTAGAGTTAAATCACAAGGGTCCAGACTTACAGATCTGCTTCTCATCCAGCATGTTGTTGGGAGATTCCACGTTGAGTAAGACTTCGGTGGTTGCCGTGGCGTGTGAGTTGGCCTCATTGTCATCTGGTTCCACATTTCATGAAGGGGGGTAAGAAAAATTCCCTCAGGGCACAGTACAGCTAAAGTCAGGGCCAACCGGAGCCAACAGAATGGTGAGGAGACACAGGGACCCTAGGGACAGCCTAGGATGGACCAGCATGCCTCCTGCCCTAATCCCCCACCCTTCAGCAGCTCTCCACTCCTTCCACTCCTCCGAACCCTACTTCATCTGGAGAATTCCAGTAGATTGAGTTAGTTCTTTCTTCCATGAGGTGGCACTACCCTTTGGTTAGAGGCCTTGCCCATTCTGGGTAAGGTTACTCACAGCCATCGTGGGCTGCCATTCCCCAAGAAAGAACCCCTTTCTCCACTTCCACCACACCTCCCCTGCCCAGAAAAGGAACAGACCTGCCAGCAAAAAGCTGCCCTCCAGGATCTGGTCCTGTGTCATGCACATGGCCCCATCTGTTGCAGCGCTGTTGTGAGAGTCATCCAGCTCTAGTCCTGAGTACAGATGCAGTAATTCGGGGTAGGGTACCTGTTCCACGATCACGGCTGGGAACACTGAAGGGTCTTCCAGCTAGGCAGGAGATAGAGATCTGGTTCAAGGCTACCTACCTCTTCCAGGAAGCCCTCCCTGTTAGCCTTAGGCCCTTTATGCAATTCCTACTTCATGGAGCCCGTGGGCTGAGATGAGGTTGCTCTAGGTTCAGCCTCACTAGGTGATGCTTTGAGTGGGCTCTTGCTTAAGAGATGGCTCAGCTCTTCCCAACCTAAAATCAACCAAAGGCAAGCATTTGTACAACTGGCACAGGAGACCAAAGCCTTTCCCATTCTGGGTAAGGTTACTCACAGCCATCGTGGGCTACCATTTCCCAAGAAAGAACCCCTTTCTCCACTTCCTATGCCTGTTATACCAGCATGCACCTGTAATCCCAGCTACCTAGAAAGCTGGGATAGTGGATCACGAGTTTGAGGCTAGCCTGGGCAACATAGTGAGGCCCATTCTCAGAATACAATTTTTAAAAAGCATTGGGGCCGCTGAGCCTGGTGGTACACTCCTGTTATCCTAACCCTTGGGTGGCTGAGGCAGGAGGATCACTCTGAGTTCAAAGCCAACCTGGGCTACATAAATGCACTATATGGTGAGACCCTATCTCAAACTCCACCCCACAAAAAAGGATTGGAGGTGAGCTCAGTAGTAGAGCACCTTCCTAGCATGTGTGAGGCCCATCTCAAGCACTGAGGAGGAAAACCAGGGGCTCATGCAATGAGGATGTACTACACCTCTGAGCTATCCCCCAGCCTGGGCAAGCATTTTTTTTTTGGTGGGGGGCAGAACCGGGAATTGAACTCAGGCCGTTGCACTTGCCAGGGAAGCACTTATTCCACTGAGCCATCTCCCGGGCCCCCAGAGGCAAAAGGATTTTTTTTTTGTTTTGCTCCAAATGCCTTCAGGGCAAGTTTGGCTGGCTTGAGTTGTGGGGATCAACCACAGCAACCTGAGCCTGACTGCTTTGTTGAAGCAGCCACTTAAAGAACTGAGCTAAGGGGCAGGCCCCCTGGGCAAGCATTTTTAAATGGTTGGAGTAATCCATCATCTGGGCTTGGGACTCAGTCCTTGAGAAGTGTTAGGCCAGTGAGGCCACTGGAAAAGGATTAGTTGATGGCAAGGGTAAAGGGCTTAAGGGTAAGGGGTAAAGGGGCTCAGCCTAGGATCATGTTTGGGGACCCAGAAATTTTAGGGCTCAGTATAGCAATGACAGTGGGGAATAAAGTCAGAGCCATTCTAGAGGCACAAAGGTCAGAGCTGATCACTGCCTGGCCTGGGGAAAGCATTTCATTACCAGCTTGATTTGGCAGGTACATGGGGTGACTGCTCATATTTGAGGTGGACTCAGGAAGAGGAAAATGAGGATTTGGAGAAAGATAAGGGATCAAATATAGATATGGCGAGTCTGAGGTACCTTTGGGAGATCTAAAGTGGAGGTGTGTGTCAGGGAGTCAGAAACAAATGTCCAAGAGCTCTAAAGGGAGCAGGTGGCCACCAAATCCCTCAGAGTAGAGAAGTCAATGAGGGCAAGTCAATTCAGCCCCTAGAGTGCGTTGTTGTTCTGAAATGAAACAAAACTAAATAAAAAAGAACTGTTGGCCAGTGGGGTGGCGCATACCTGTAATCCCAGTACTCAGGAGGATCAGTGCAAGTTCAAGGCCAGTCTGAGCTATATAATAAGGTCAAGATTAACCTCGACTACATCGTGAGACCTTGTCTCCAAATAATAATAATAATAATAATAATAATAATAATAATTGAGTGTAATCATATTTTATTATTATTATGTTATTATTATCATTATTGCCAGGCAAACACTTGTTCTACTGAGCTATCTCCCCAGCCCTATTTGAGGGAGTTTCAATGTATATATGGTGATCATATCCATCCCCCACATTCATTTATTCATTCATTGTGCTGAAGATCAAACCCACGGCCTTGTTTACGCTAGGCAAGCACTCTATCACTGAGTTATCTCCTCCCCTCCACCTGTTCTCTTTTTCAGTACCAGAGATCTAACTCAGGACCTTGTGCTTGCCAGGCAGGCATTTATGCTGCTGAGCTATCTCCCTGGCTCCTCCACATTTTTATATTTTAGTTTTGAATAGGGTCTTGCTAAGTTACCCAGGCTATCCTTGAACTTTTGATCCTTCTACCTTGGCCTCCTGAATAGCTGGGATGACAAGTGTATGCCACCACAGCTGACAGTTTTTTAAAAAAATTCTAGATAAAAAGAAATATACTAGAATGTCAATTGTAGTTATATTTTAGTTGTTGGACTTTGGATGATTTCTTTCCTTTTTTTCTATTTTTCCGTATTTTCCAAATTTTCTTTTATGGGAAGGTTAAATCTTCATTCTTGAAAAAAGACTGAGAATGGTTCTGCTTCAGATGTTCCTGAGGAATTTAGAAGAGTGTAAATTGGCAAAGGCTTTGGATTTGACCACTGGATAGTTGCTCTAGCTGGAGTGACTTCAGGGGAGTGCTGGGGTCCCAGGCCCGGTGACATGGGATCTCAGAGAGGATAGACTTAAGACATCATGTGTCCAAGGGCACATGATGTCTATACCTGTGCTGTCCATGAGGACAGCTACTAGCACTGGTGACTTTAGATTTAAATGGAATAAAAATTTTGGAAAGATACAACTTCAGAGCTGGGCACAGTTGTACACACCCATAATGCCAGCAGTAGGGAAGGCTGAAGCAGGAGGATTGTGAGTTTGAGTTCAGACATAGCAAGAGAAAAAAATGAAACATGAAACTTTAGTCATTCAACTACACTAGCTACATTTCAAATGCTCTGCAACATGTTCTGCCTTACACTAGATAAGTCAAACATAAAACAACATTGCTAGCATTCCAGACAATTCTATCAGATTGTGCTAACCTACAGCCAGACTGCTTGGGTTTAAAACCAAGCTGGAGGCCAGGCGTGGTGGTGCATGCCTGTGATCCCAGCACTCAGGAGGCTGAGGTAGGAATATCATTGCAAGTTTGAGGCCAGCCTGGACTACATAATAAATTCTGGGCCAGTTTGAGGTACACAGCAAGACCTTGTCTCAAAGAGGAAAAAAACAAAAACAAAAAACAAGCTGGGCTACTTACTTAGTAGCAGGGTGACCTTAAGAAAGTTACTTATATTTCTGTGTATCAGCTTTCTCATTTATAAAATTGGGATACTCATATTATTGACCCCATATGGTTGTTTAAACAGACCAATACACATTATGTGCTCAAAACAGTACCTAACATGCACAGAGTAAGTTCTTGTTAAGCATTAGGTATCAAAGGCTTCTAGGGACCTAGTAATGTTTTACTTCTTAACCTGGGTGGTGAGTACATGTATATTCACTTTATGTTCTATCTACTCATCAATGATTTATGCACTCTTCTGTATTCATGATACATTTTGTAACAAAAATGATTTCCTAAGAAAAATGGAAGGGTTAGACTATAATCCTAGCACCCTAGGAGGAGTGCCTCCTGAGACAGGAGAAATGAAAGTTCAAGCCCAATCTGGGCAACTTAAGTGAGACCCTGCCTCAAAATAAAAAGTAAAAAGGACTGGGGATACAGCTCAATGTGAAAGACATGGGTATAAACCCCCTCAAAATAATAATTCTAAAAAGAAAGTAGCATTCATTCTGAAGCAGCAGAACAAAGGTTTTCTTTCAGGGTTAGAAAGACCTGAAGATTTCTAAAATGAAGAGAAGCACCTGGAATGTCAGAAATATACAAGAGAAAAGGAATGTGATTGATGGCTTGAGGCCTTAAGAAAAAAAAGGCAGGAGATCAAGTACAGGGGTAGGAGTTAGCTGGGAAGGAAGAATACTTTTATCTCCCATGCCAGTGGAAAAGAAATAAGAATATGAGATGTTATCCATGAAAGGTATAGGGAAACTGAGGACACCCTTGACTTTGGGCTTCTCCACAGGCTGAGAAGAGAGGCTTCCCCTGAGGGAGAAGGGTCGCTTGGGAGGTGAGGACAGCCTCTAGGAGACACAGAAAGTTGCTGAGCAGACCAGAAGCAAGTGGAAAATGGCAAGAAGCACTGAGAAACTGGTAAATTTGGATTTTTCTTCCCCTCTCCTTCATGTGAAGCCTTTCTTTCCCAGGTAGGCACAGCAGAGGGTCCAATAACATGGAGCAACCTTGGGTAAAAACACACAGGACAGAGAGTACTATGCATTTAGTGCCCATTAGAGGGCAGCCTTCAGTTGGCTGCAGAAGACGGGATGGTCTTTATTCGTCCTTGCAAGGATTTAGGATAGAGCATATCAGTTAGGCTGGGATGCCTGAGATAATCCAGACAGATCTCTTGGAGAGGGTAGAGATATGGTAGCGGGTAGGAGACAGGGCTTGGCCAGGTGATACTGGGGCCAAAGTAGGATCAAAATCTAGGGTTCTGGGCCAGTGAGATAGCTCAGCGGACTAAGTACCTGCTTAGTCAAGCACAGGACCAGGGTTTGATCCCCAGCACCACATGCTGTGCCAGCCCTGGCCCCAGGGTACACTGAACCCGCAACAGAGTTGCATGCATGTAATCCCATCACTGGAGAGGCTGAATACAGGAGGATCACTACAAGTCCAAACTGTGTAGTGAGACCCTGTACCAAACACATTAAAAACAAACAAACAAAAAACATAACAACAATAACCTAGGTTTCCAGGTTCCAACTCTTTCATGGCTGCCTTTTTTTTTTTTTTACCAGGGATTAAACTCAGGACATCGGGCTTGCCAGGCAGGAGCTTATGCCACTGAGTATCTCCTGGCCCTGATGGCTGCCTCTTCTTTCTCCATTGTGTGGAAGGAAGGGAAAGGGCGATAGTGATGAATGCCAGGACACCATCCAGTGGGAATGACTAAGTGCATGGAAAATGTGTCCTCCTGGCCTCAGTGCAGCAGCACAAGGTATAGAGCAGTGGGTACCTGAGTGCCAGACTTCCTCCCATTGGACCCCATGACTTTGGGCCTCTGTGTGGCTTGGGAGGAGAGCCTTCTGCCTGAATCCTCAGGCTTATCCTGAATCCTCAGGTGGAAGCTGAGAAGAGCCTATCAACTGGACTAGAGCCAGGTATCTCAAGATGCCAGGGCTTGGACTCCACCCTGCAGTTTCAGTTGGCAGGGACCATCTTGCTATGTGGTCATCCCAACACCTTTCTCACCGTGACACTGGAGGAGAAGAAAGCAGTCCAAAAGCCTTACGATGACCAGAGAACACCTTGTGACTTCAGTCCCTGCTGCTCCCTTACCAGCCACTCCCTGAGTGACCACCTAATGACTACCAACTGGCTACGTGAGAGAAGAGCTGGTGAGCAGTCTGGCTGGCACAACAGGGCCAGTGCCCCGACCATAGTAGGTGTTTATTCATTATTTGCCGAGTGGCTAGCCAGCCATCTAGCCCACTGAACTTTATTCTCCCAGACCATACCTGGTGGATGTCATCCATTCCGTTGCTTGCAAACTCAAAGATTAGGTCACTGGGCTGCAGGGTAATGGCCATACTGTCTGCTCCAAGAGCTGACAGCAGGATTCCCGAGCTCTCCGGAGTGGCAGCGCTTTGTTGGTGAGGAGATGCTTAGTGCCTCCCCCAGCCACGTAGAGAGCTGGAGTAGGTGGTGGGCTCCAGTGGGCTCAAGGATGCATACTGGGCTGGGATGACCACAGGAGCAAGCTAGGGAGAAGGGAGAGATGGAGACCATGAATAAATCAGCCTCCTTGTTCCATTCCCAAGACAACTAGTGAACCTCAGGGACCTTGCCATGCTGGGCAGAAGACCAGTACAGAGCTGGGCAAGGGAGGCCAATGGAGGAGAAAGGAAGCTGCAAAAGAAAGAAAGAAAGTCAGCTGAATTGTTCCCAGCAGGAAGAAGCTGAACCTTGGTGCCAGTCAGGGCCACCAGCATCTATACCTCTGGCCAGCCCCAAAGACACACAGCTCCCTTTCCTCCCCTTTCCCTTCTCTCAGAGAAGGCAACAGATAGAGGAATTTGTTATTATTATTTTTTTTTTTGGCGGAACCGAGGATTGAACTTAGGCCCTTGTGCTTGCCAGAGAAGCACCTATTCTACTGAGCCATCTCCCTGGTCCAGATAGAGGAGTTTATTTATGGTGTTGCTGAGGCTTGAACTCAGGACCTTTATACTGAAACTACATTCCCAGCTATTTCATTTTATATTTCATTTCATTTCATTTCATTTTATCTTGAGACAGCTGCTAAATTGCTCAAGCTGGGCTCTAATTTGCCATTGTCCCACCACAGTCTCCCTGAGTACGGAGATTATACGCAGGGTGGGACCATACCAACTGGCTTGGGGCTCTTTATCCTCAGTGCATGGCCACAGGAAATGGCAGGGCACCCAGGGTGACCTCAGGCTGGGGCAATGGTGTAAAGAATCCCCATAACTCCTTTGGCTTAGGAAAGAATTCATGGGGTGAGTGCAAGGGGACACAGGGCCTGAGGGTGCTCTGAGGCTCCATGTACCTTGGGAGTGGCCACCAGTGAGCTCTGAAGGGCAAGAGTCTACTGTGGAATTGTCTCTCTGCAGGGGGTTGTATTGTGTCAGGGCCAGAGTGGGGGGGCCTATGAGACAGGTGGGCCACATGCATGCTTACACCCCCTTCCTCCACCGCCTGCCAGAGAGGGTGGCCTCCATGTGATGTGTGGGTTTGTGCTCTGCTTTGCTTTCAGTTTCAAGACTAAACTGTCACCCTGGGAACTTGTGAGGAGAGCCCTGGCTGGGGGAAGGGCCGAGGAATCTTCCCCATCCTCTGGCCCACAGGCCCCTTTTCCAGGAAATCTCTGTCTGCTGCAGCCCACACACAACTCTTCTCCTGATGCCTCCCGTGCTCGCATGGCATCTGGGGCCTCCAGCTGCTTCCCTGCCTCCACTCCTCACTGTCAGCGCCCTTGTGGCTGGGCTCGGCCAAGCGTGGTCACACCCATGGCCGCCTCCCAAAGCCCTTATGCGCCCAGCTACAGGCTCCCCCACTCCTGGGCCCCTGAACACTTGGCCTCTGCACTTCAAGGTACTGCATCTGTGGCCCCTCAGGCACACTAGAGTTGTGTGATATGCTTTAGTGTGCGAACATCTATGCCAGCAGCCTGATTCAACCATGAAGAATTGGGTCCACCTACAATAGAGTGAATCGCTGGACCCCACCTCCGAGACACACCCTGGGCAGTCCCAGGGTGGTAAGCCTTGCCCTGGCCCAGAAAGAAATGAGGAACTTCAGAGAGGGGCAAAGGGGAGGAAAGGGAGGGGGACCATGGCTGACCTCCATAATGACCGCTCTCCCCCACAGGAGACACCCAAGCCTCTGCCACTTCCTTTCCGTTAGCCCACAGGGCTGGCCCCACCCTCTCTCCAACCCCAGCCTCACCCCCATACCTTTCTAGCCACCCCAACAAAATGCCTGGAGAAGTCACTCAGCATGGGTCAGCTCCACCTGTCAGGTCTGAGTCGCCATTCTCATGAAGGAGAGTGAGCCAGATGCACACTCAGTAGAGGCACCTTCAGACTGACTTGTCCTGGTCTGCTCCTGCTCCTCCCACTCAACTCTGCCTGTGACCCTGTCTCCTCAGCCTAGGCGCCTAAGGCAGGGCCATTTATGCTTGGAAGGTCTGTCTCCCTTGGCCTACATGCCTGGGGGCCCCCAGGCCAAATTCTTCCACAGCTTCCCTAGCCCTCCCACTCTGTCTTCTGTCTGCCCCTAGAACTGTACTCATCAAATGAAAACCGATCACTTTCACCTAATCCTACTTTGTCTAAACACGAAACTCCCGCATCCACCCCTCCCCCAAGGCCTGTCCACTATGGCCCTTCCAGGTTTGCTGTATCTTGGGCTTCTCTTCACAGGCCAGCCTTTCTGTTTTGTTTTGTTTTGCTTTGCTTTGCTTTGCTTTGCTTTGTTTTGTTCTGTTTTGTTTTGTTTGCAAGTTCATCATTGTTGTTCTCTGCCCTGGAAACATCTACAGATCTTCCCTACCTTCCCCAATAACAGGGGCTTCCTTGAGGGCAGAGCGCACTGTGTTTGTTGGTCATTGATAAAACTTTAGTACCTCACACAGGTGCCTGCACTTAATTCATGTTTGTGGAAGAAATGCAAGAAAGAAGGAACAAAACAAACAAACAAATGAATGGTACTCCCCTTTGACCCCTTTGGCCAGTCAGCATCTGTAAGTGCAGCATTTTCTGGGAAGTATGTGACTAGGTATACATTTAGTACAGGTGGGTGTCATATACTCTGTCACATGAGAATAAGGGAAATATGCAAGCTCGGAGGTTATGTCAGTATGTTCTTGGGTGGCTAGCTCCCCAGGTGCGTGCTCTATGCTCACTGTGAATGTGCAGGGTGTGTGCATGTGTCTCAAGTGTGAAGATACGTGCGTGAGAGCCTCTGTGTGTCAAAGGGCTGCCTGAGCTGGCCAGCAAAGCCACAGGCTCCGTCATCAGTTCCTCCTCCCAGGCTGTGGTGGTGGCAGTGGTGGCCTGAGCTGCCTCTGTGAGGATGACAAGCCCTTACTGAATGCTGCCTCTGCTTCAGAGAAGCCGTGGTGAAGTGGGGGCGGGCTGGTTTGGCTAAAGTTCTGCTAGGCCCCTGCTATCACTGTGTGTCCCAGCAAGAGAAGGAAACCCCAGAATAGGTATGGGGCCTGTGGGTCTTTGGGGTGAACCCACAAGGTCTACTCAGCTAGGGAGATGGGGAGAGGGCAGATACTGCAATGGGTTAGATGGAACCCTTGACCAGCAATGCAGAGCGGAGAGGTCTGATGAGACAGAGGATTCCCATAGCCTCATTTCACATGACTGCATGTTTAAGTGCCTAAACAGAGGACCCACTGGTGTAGGTTCTTTGGCGCAAGGTTGTAAGGTCTTGGGAGGCTGATCCTGGTGATCTCATCCTGCCCCAGGCCTAAAGCTAAGGTGAAGGGGCATATTGGCCAAGGCTAAGAATCTTCCCCCATGGAACCTTCCAGGCCAGAAAGCTTCCCCTCTTGCTTTAGATGTTTGAGGATTTGAAAGTGAGAGGTGGAGAGAGGCTCATTTGCATGTTCACTCCCTCTCCCCCAGTCCCTTAAAATAACCTCCCTCTCCCAGGAACATGAAACCAAAGAAGCCACTACCATATAGGCCCACCTGCCAGGAACAGAGAGGCCCACTCCAGGGCACCTCTCTCGCAGGTCCTTCAAGAGCCCTCTGGTTGGGACACAGCTTGGGTGGCCTAGAACCCTGAACACTGCCTCACTGGTGAGTGAAGCTCAGGGGTCACACGCAGACACTTGACTCAGGGAATGGAATTATTTGGGAACCTTTAGTAACTGGCGGCAAATTCCTCCCCTGCCCTACCCCATCATTGCGCAGCTCACAGCCAGCTCCAAAGTCCACTCTCAGCCTCTGTCCTAGCAGGGCCAAGAGTGACAGCTTTGTGAGAATAAATGGCACCTGGAAGCTGCCGTGCATGAGTGTGTGCCACAGGAGGGAACAACAGGCCGAGGCATCTGTGTCCCCAGCCTGCAAATGCACACCTCTGGCTCACTGTGGTTCTGCCTGCATTGCAAAACCAAAGCAAAATAGAAGTAGTTTGGGCTGCTTCTGCATCATTACAGCCAGGTTCCCTCCAGAGAGGTACAGACCCTTTCAAAGGCTGCAACTGAGACACATCAAGCAGTGTCCAGCACCCACCCATCTCGACCTCCTCTAGACGGAAACAGCCTCGATGTGCAAGCCACATCCACAGCCTCTGTGGAGTGCGTTTAAACCTACACCCACTCAGCTGAGCCAATGGCTCTCACAGCATTGCTGGTAACACCCGTGGCATTTTCACACATGCCAGGAAACATGGGAGCCAGATGGTCATCTGGGCCACACAACGAAACTCTCCTCCAGTTCCTCATCCCTCCGAGCCAATGCTCCTGAAATACCTCACTCTCCATGAAACCTTTCTGGAATTCTCTGGAAAGGAAGTAACAATTTCCTTCATGCCATTTCCTACTCCCTCAACACCCTTCCCCCCCAGCCACAAACAAAATGGAAACTACCCCAGGAACAGCTGTACCCTCTACTTAAAAACAGCCCCACCCCCAGCTAATAGTCACCCAGCATCGAATGTGCTTGCTGCACCACGTGACCAGTGGCATGTATTTAACAGCCAGAGGGCAACGTCAGGGCTCCAGGCCATCTTCCTGGACAGAACAGAATGAAGCCATCCATAGGACTCACACCCACAATCTTGGCCCAGTTAGGACCAGCTAATCCTCCTTGTTGAGCAAGTGCCCAGGGAAGGGGCCCGGCCACAGCTATTTTGTCAGCTCCTTCTCCATCCTTTTCTTTCCACCACCCCCTCCGTCTGAGATGAAATCAGGAAGAGGGAGGAGGAAAAGAAAGGTTTTGCAAGCTCTGTTGGTTGGGGTTTCTTTCTGCGTATTTACAAGAAACCCAGTTCCCTTGTTTGCCCCATCACTGCCTGATTCTACCTAGGGCTTGTCACAACTCCAATGGCCAGGTGGGCCCAGAGCTCGCCCCTAGCTGCCCCCTTCACCTTTCATCTGCTGTCCTCTCAGTCACACCTTCCCAAGCCCCAGCCTATCCCAAAGCAGAGGCCATTAGGGCTGTAGGCCCCCTGACAGAGATGTTGGGGGATGGGGGTTTTCTCCACAGGGTGGGGGTGCGCA